TCCTGCCCATCACAGTGATTTCTGGCTATTCATCCCTGGGGCACCGGGCTCCTTTCTGCCTGCCTCATTCCAGGCCATTTGCCATGCACGTCCCCGCATAAAATGGTTTCAAAGGTCTTGATGCTGAAAGGGAGCCCCTACCCCAGTGCAGACCAGCTTTCCTATTAAAAACTATCCTGGGGATTTTTCATTCACGGTGTTAGTGGCTGGTGCTAAAAAAGTCTCTAATTGGGTATCGATCAGATCTGTTTGATCGCGCGCAATCCAACAACGCCCTCCTTCCATTCAGCGGGGCTGGGTTTACAGCAAGTCTTCCCTTCCCCCCAAAGGTTTTCTGTGTCTTCTCATTTGGGCACCATCAGTATACTGCAAATGCATAGGCCCTGCATAGGAAAGCCTGGCTCCCCATCACGTTATCTCGATGCCATTGTGCTCTTGCCTCTGCTTTGTAGACCACCGCTGAGTTGAAGTGGTGGGAGATCCTGGACAATGACAGAGGATGAATAGTCTGACTCAAGAGCAAATGAGGGTCTAGGATGGAGGAGGTCCCATAGAAAAACCCCAGATAGCTGCTGAATTTGTGGATGAAGTTTAAGCTGCAGTATGCCAGGCTGCTGCTATTACTATCAACCTTTACATTACATTAGCGTTCTGTGGACTTTGATGAAAGATGAAGATGCTATTATGCCAGGTACTGGACAAAGAAAGCACTGATAATCCCTGTCCCCGATAGCTCATGTTCTGGAGATCTGAAGGGAGGCAGCAGATGGAGGATGCCCAGGAGAGAAAGAGAGAGGGGGCAGCAAGGGGATTATGCACAAAGCAGCCGTCTCAGCTGTCAGGTGGATTAGCTCCAAGGCCAATCTCCAGGCAAGGGGTAGGGTTGGATGTGCTGGCCCAGCCAGGGTGCTCAGACCAAGGTTGGGACACCTGGAGTTCAGCTCTCCTGTGCAGCGTGGGCTGCACAACCCAGGGATGGCTGGGCTGATCTAATGTTATGCTCAGAGATGAGCCTGTTGTGCTCACACAACGCCCAGCACAGTGGGGCTTGGTGCCAGCACTTGGCCACCACGAGCCATTCCCCCCTCCCTGCCCTTGCTGCAGTGCCCAGGGAGCACGGCTACTCATCTGGGGTCCGGCAGCCCAAGGGGTGCACTAAAAAGGAGCCACATGGGTCTGTGGCTCTGCCCCTTTGCAAAGAAACCAGGTCTCCGCAGTAACTCTATGGGCTGGCAGTGAAGCTCACCGTGAGCTGTGGACAGCCACGTTCAGCCCATCCATAGGGAGGTTGTAACCAGGCATGGGACCAGAGGGAAAATACCCCAAGCCTTGCACCTCCCCCTGCACACAACTGCATTCCTCTTCCTTCCTTCCCAGAAGAGCAGATTTCTTTAGCAGGAGATGCCGTTGGGAGACCAGCATCCCCTGCAAGTCTGGCCCTTGCTATAAGCTCAGCTCGACTAAAAACAGTCCCCAGCAGTGCTGCAGGTCTCTGTCTCACCTGGTGCAGCGGCCTCTTCCCTCGGGGGCTCACAAACGGACCTGGACTACTAAGGGACAGGGTCTGCTGGCTAATTCATGCCTCCCGCTGGCTCAGAGAAAGGATGGAGAACATTGAGCGCAGCACCCCAGAAAGGAGGTGTGGGGCGGCACCTCCTCAGCACCCTCCTCCTCCCTGTCTGGGCTCGGGCTCTGGTCCCTCCATGGGGCATGCGAGAGAAAGACCAAATGCCCGATCTGCATTTCACTGCAAAGAGACACGTGGGCAGCGGCTTGAACTCTTCCATTGCTTTTATTTCAGCTCTGTGTCAGCCTTTCCTTCATCACCGCTCTGCCGTCGTCGCCAGCGCAACTGGAGCGAGGACAGTTATTTCATCCCAGAAAATGACCGAGTCTCACATGAAGCAAGACAGAGAAAATGCACCTGTCCAGAGCAGCCTACCTCGGAGCAGGGTGGCACCCCCCTGGTTGGCACTGCCAGCGCTGGACCGGCATCCCGGTGTGGTCAGAGGTGAACCTTGCTGCAAGGGTGTGGGCAACCCAGCACGACTCCCCAGCAATGTGTGCACAGGGGGTGTTACCAATAGCTTTGGGTCAGTGTGGGACAGTATTATTCAGTCCCATAAACTTTGAGAACCAAATGGCAGCCCGGATCAGAGCTGGCCATGGCCCCAGTGCGAAACCAAGCCCACCCGCGCACTGTCCATCACCGGGTAGGCTCCTGCTCTCTCGCGCACGATGGGTGAGCAGGGAACTAGCAAGACACCTTCTCCTGCAGTACAGACGGAAAAAGCCACCTCTAGTTTGTCAGCAGGAATGAAGGTAGAAAAGGCAGAGAGAGACCAGGCACTCCCGAGCTGAAAACATGCGCTGGAGGGATCCGGCGGCCGGATTTGGAAACTCTTCTCCCCTCTTCTCTTGCTTTGCTGAGAAGCAAAGATCTTGCTGGCTCTCCTTCCGGGCAGCTCACGCTCCAGGCACTCAAGGCAGCTGGACATGCTCTGCCCTGCCAGGCAGTACGGTCATTTCTCTGCGTGTCCTCCCCCAAGGACTGCAGGAGATCTCGCCCGTGCCCTCTGCCCCTCCTTCCAGTCGGTCTGACACGATCCTTATGCACGATCGTGCTGCTTGTGCTTTGCCCCTCGCTGGCCTGTCTGGAGGTAGAAGCCAGCTCCCGTCAGACCCGCTGCGATTCCTGTGGGCCTGGAGATGCCTCAGGAAGCAGGCAGGAAAATGGCTCAGGCCCCCAGCCTTGAGGGTCCTCAAGGATCAGCCATGTAGCAATGCCTAGGACTCCAGGGTGCAAATGCCCCCAGAGGTTTTGTGGCCCCTCCTCACCTTCGCTAAAGGCCAATTGGTAGAGCAGTCCCCGTGCCAGGGCGGGTGGCAAGGAACTGAACTGCAATGGCAGTGGCTTTGGTTGGGAGCGAACCCAGTGCCCGGCTTTCTGGCCGCTATACGTTAATGCATGGCACGTGGAGAGGAAGATATGTGGCACTTGAGCTCTTGCGGGTAGGAGACCGATGGCCCCATTTTCTGGGCAGAGGAGGTCAAGAGAGGCAATGAGATCCCCCATGGGGCCAGGCTGGCCCAAAACAGCCAGGACGGGAGGATGGCTTTTCATTGCTCATGTTTCATGCTCGAAGGCCTGGGTTATAATCAGGGGACTCCCTGCACCTGCTGACAAAGGGGCAGTTTCATCGCTGAGTCGGTGCCATGGTCTGCCCCTGCCCCCCTCCATGCCCTACAGCCGGGGGCCTGGCTAATGCAGCAGCAGAGCCATTGGGTCCAACAGACGCAGCTTCTGTAGAGACATCCCTTTCCCACTGTAGAGACGTCATCACCAGGGTGGCCAGGTTGTTCCCCCAAACTGGGACGCGGCCCCCACCCCAGGAACATGGGGAGGGGCTGGGTTTTGGCCGGGCCTCCGAGCAAGAGCCGTGGGGGAGCCTTGTTCCCCGCGGCACTTTTGTTGCCAGACGAAGTATAAACCTTTTCCCCTTTCTCCGCGTGTTTAGCTCGCAGGAAGTGTACGAGGTAGTGTGAACACAGCTGTGCTTTTGTGCAAGTGAGGGGCAGCAGGGCCAGCCTGGGGACACACCTCTGGGGCCGAGAGCAAAGAAAGCACGAAGGACAAGCTTGCTTCTGAGACCCCGATAGACATATCGCCAGTGACGCAGTCCAGCCCAGCGGGCAGGTGCCGTTCTCCCCGCCCAGAGGCATCTTTAATGCTGCATGGTGGGTTCCCATGCATCTGTACAAGCAGCGTGGGGCGCTGGCTTGGCATACAGGAGCCGCCAGCGTCATGATTGGGGCCCCCACATGCAGAGGCCCTTGTGAATCGGCAGTGCCAAGTTGCATATCTGCAGGATGGAAAAAGACCCCGATCAAAAGAAAGGAAACTGAGTCCATTCACCAAAGCCACATCACCTCTTACACAGAGCTGCCTGGTCCTTGCCTCTCCCGGGCTGAACCTGGTGAGAGCATCATCCATGACACCAACCATTCGCAAGGCATCCTGTTCCTCTTCTTCTTTTATATGGGTTTCTAATACATGTGAGCAAGGAAGCAACGTGGAGATGAATCCCCTTATCTAGAACACTTGGTGGCTGCAGGAATGGATGCACTCCGATACACACACACGCACACACTCCACATATCAAAAAAATGCCACGGTCCAAAACTAAGATGACTTAAAAACCAAGTTAAAAGGCCAGGTCCTCCGTTGGCTTTTATCCTTCATTAAGAGCAAGAAGATTACCTGAAATCATGATTTGTTTTCCATATTCTGCCTGAGTTCACTTTAACATCCCAATCAACAGCTGCATCGGGGAGATCTGCAGGGGAGCTTTAGGCTCTGGAAGGGAAAATTATGGCCTGTTTATTTTTCTTTCTAATTAGGGAATTATTTCAATTTTTTTTTTTCTTGTCTTTTGGTTTCCAGTTGCACGAAAGAAAGTTCAAGGAAGATTTTGCCCTGAATGCGTCATCGTCTTTGTTCCTCCACGTTCCACCCTTTTTCCCTCCAGATTGTCAAAGCCGAGAGGTCGGGAGTGGAGAAGAATACATCCCTTCTGCTCTGCTTTTGCATATCCCACTACAAACTTCCCATCGTTGGGCTCCATTTGGAAATCTTTGCCTTTTTCTCTCAGAAACAGGGCTCCCCCACAACGGCCTTTGCAAAGGACAGAGTTCTGGCCCGAGACACGGACACTGGCTGGGGAATGCCGTTGTAGCATCAAGACGGTTTGGTAAGGGAGTCGAGTTGCACTGGTTTTTTCGGACCAGCGGAGCAAAGGCTTCTGAAGGAACCCTCTTCTGAGCTGCTCTTGCACAGATAGTAGAAAAAAATGACACAAGGGAACCAACAGACACTTCAGCAGGTCGGGCCCGTTCCACCCAGCAAGGGCCAACGGTGCACCCACGCATGCATGTGCATAGCCAGCTTGCTACGGTTTGGTGATAGGGCCAAAATTAGGGAGGGATGTGGGGGGCAAAGATGCAAAGAAAAAGCCAGGGAGACAGGGACCAAGGCAGGACGTTCCCTTGGAGCGCTAAGAGCCAGGCGGATACGTAATCTAATCATGTCACTTAGAGTTGCACCAAAATGAGAAGTGGGAGTAGCAGTCAAAGTTTTCAGTGGCTGGGAAGAAAAAAACCCAGAATGCCTCGGTGGACGTGGGAGAGAGCAGGAGACGTGAAACGTTGGCTGCTTTGCTTTTGCTCGAGCGTGTAGAGAAGTGGCTTTAAACATACTGTTCCTTAGGACAGATGTGCGGTGCCCGGGAACCAGGGGGCGGGCAGCAGATGGAGACATCGGCATGGTAAGGATAAAGGTCTTCTGGGAGGTAGGACAAGGGGTTATAGACAGGGGAGATCTTCTCCAAAGGCTGCTCTTGACGTGAGTAACAGCAGGTCAAGCGATCACGCGCATCCGGTACTGCTGAGTGACACTTTCCAAAGGTCTGAAACGGAGAGCAAGAGTCAGTGAGCAAGATCCCGGAGACGAACCGTGCAACACGCACAGCTGCCCAACGCCCTGGGAGGTGCCCTGGAAGGGCAGAGAGGTGCAGGGAAAAGCAAAGCACTCTCTTACAACTCTACTTTTATTTCACATGGCATCTGGGGCCATTCTGTGGTTGAACAATTTCCACCTCAGCTTCCCAAAACGCCCCTTTACTGTGTGCAAATGTGGACTCAAGACTAGTTTGCCCCCAGTCCTGCAGCAGCTCAATGCAATCTTACTATAAGGAGATAACAGAGGGCCTCAACACTGGGGACAGACAGGTCATGCCTCATCTGTCCAGATGCTGGGTTTTAGCTAACCCTTCTGGGCTGGCTGTTGCTGCAGGCAGAGGACCAGGCTGGATGGGCGTTGAGTTTGGTCCAGTCTGACAATTCATGTGCTGTGTGAAGACAGTATTTGTACGGCCAGGCTTTGATGGCAGACTGGATTGTTGTCCAGGCACTTACTTTTATGCACCTGAGCAATCCCACTGACGGCACCCAGCCTGGTCACCTGCACTAAGCTAATGTGGTCCCTTATTGAGGCCAGTCTCTAGAGAGCTGAGTTCCTGAGTCTGTGGCGTTTGCTTTGATGTTAGGTCATCTGGAAGGGAAAAACCAATCCATCTGCCCTCCATAAAATGGAGGGAAAAATAATGCATCATTTCTTTGCCGCCTGGTGCTATCAGATTCAGGGTTTTGTTTTGGTTTCGTTTTGTTGGGTTTTTTTGCAAGCCCCGAATGAAAAGCAAAGCCCTCAAATGCCAAGGTGCTGGGGTGTGGGGTTATTATGCACAGCTGGAACAACAAGTAATAATCAAAGTGCATTTGTTTCAGCGTGAAATCACAGAGGTCATTCCTGCCAAGGTTTATCCAAAACCCAATGGGAAGCTTGACAGCTTTCAGGGCTCTCTCATGCCCTTTTGCTCCAGGGAAGGGGGTGTGTGGTGCTTGCAGTTAGCAGAATACAAAGTCCTCTCCCTCCCAAGCCTTGGTGGAAGGGGTCTTTGGCTTTCTTGCCCCGTCTAGTGCTTTGAAGCCCTCTGAGCTGGTCTTAGTGAAGCATCTAGTAGGGACACGAGCCTTATTTCAGGCCCCACTGCCTCACCCATGCATGTTTCCCAGCCCCTCTTGCTTCACAAGCTTTTGCCTCCCATGTAAGCGGATGTGACTGGCGTTAAAGCTGCACCTTGCCATTACAGCTGGGCGACACAGATCTTGCTGCTTTCATCTTCCAGCCATGCACCAGCTCCGTGGGTCTGGCTTTTGCTGGGGAGGGAGTTCTTGGCTGACTGGCTGCAAGCCTCTAAAGGGAGTTTGTGTGTGGGCTTGGGAGTGTCACGCCCTCTTGCCTTCCCTCTGAAGCACACGAGTGTATTGCGCAAAGCATAACACGCTCGTGCCTCAACCCATCCGCATCTCTGTTATTCCAAAACCCGGGCCTCTTCAGTTGAGAAACGTTTGGGGCAGGAACCATGTCTTCATCACAGACGTGTTACAAAACCCAGTGCAACAGTGCTGCGATCGAGACCCCTAGGTGATCCCACCGCATAAGAGCGGCAGGGTAAATATTTCTATCTGTGTGGGACGGTACAATCCCTCGGGGGTGTGGGGCCCCATTTACCCAGCTTGATTGTTCCCCATTGTAATGGGATAACCAGGGCTTGGGCTGTAATAGAAATTTATCAGCTGGGGGCTGTTCCCTGCGTGACTCGGATACTACAAAGGCTGCTAGAAACAGAGCCTCCTTCTCAGTGTGCTTTTAAAGCCATCCCAAAATGGATGCACTTATCTGTGCCAGCACACAATGAACCATTCGCATGCAGGAGAAATCTGGGCTGTGTAATGGGAACAGAAGAGGAGCAGAGAGAGGGAGGAGGAGAAAGGAGACAAATGTGGTCTCCAGCTTTGGCAAGTTGTTTTCAGGCCTTTTGTACATCCTGGTGTGCAGAGGGGTGGAGATCGGGGTGTCAAGACAGCAGCACAGGCCTGCCTGCAAAATGCAGCCCTGTGGGTTTGCAAACATCTGGAGCTGTCACGTGCTGTCCTCAGCTTGCCTGGGGAGCCAGGAGGAGCTGTAGGTCTGGACAGCCTAAAGGCAGCATGTCCACTCTGCAACAGGGGCTTAAAGCCCATTTTGGATGGATCGAAGGAGTGTTTTTTTCCTTTGAAGCCCTCTCTTATAATCCCCACAGTGCCTCCAGCTGACGCCAGCCTCAGGGAGTCTGTTTCTTGGGAGAAAAAGCCTGAAGGAACAGAACAAGCTGCTTGGAGCCACGTGCCGCCAGGGCCTGGGTAGATATTCCAGCGCAACGCTTGGGAAAGTTATGTCAAAAACAAAATGCCACTAATGATTTATTGACGGCTCCGCAAAGAAGAGCTCAGGAGAGAGATGGGTAGCAAGCCAGAGAACCGAGTGTCCTCAGAACAGCAGTAGGGGGAAGAGGAGAGGCAGGAGGGATCAGCTGTTATAGGGCAGCCTGGCTCCAGGAAATATGGGAGGCGAATTGTGCCGAACCTTGGGAAAACAGCGTCTAGAGTGGGGCCGCAGGGAGGGCTGCAAGTGTATTGTCTGAGCCACTTAAAGCAGTAGTGAAGGGCTTGCTAGCATCCTCCTAGCTACTACAGCCTCATTAAAGTCTGCTGCACAAAGCCCCCTGATCATAGACACATGCCTTGTCCCCCCTACATCAGCTGGGGCTGCTGCACAGCTAGTCTAGTGCTTTTTTTCCCCCCTGGCTGTGTTAGAATAAATAGAGACCTGGGAGAAGCCAAAGCTTAAGTGTTCAGAGCACAAGAGAGCACTCAGACTCCAGGCTCAGGGTCACGCCGCCATCTGCTAGCACAAAAGCAAAGTCATTTGAGCCAGGGAAAGGTCTGCAGATATAGGTGCCATCACACAGCTTGCAGGAAGGCATGCACAGGAAATAGCAAGTGTGGCTGGACAAGGACAACACAGAGCTGACCAGCAAAATACACCCACAGCCTGCCCAGATCATGCACACTCCCTCTCCCTGCCTAAGCCCCTGACCCAAACACAGCAACCTCCCTAAAAACAACCCCACCATATAGAGAAGTAGCTACACTCTCCTCCCTCTTTATAGCCCAGCTCATTTTCTTGATCAAGCTCACCTGGAAGCCACTTCCTCCCCTGCCTGGCAGCTGAGCTCATATATTTGGGAGGCAACACCTGATAGGGGTTTGGACCTTTATCCTGAATTAAAGAGGTAAGGGTTTTGTGCATTTTCCTAGATGCAGCCTACTCAGACTAGGGTGTGTCTGTAGAAAGATGAGTAGGACATAGGCAGGTGCATGCAGTCACACATTGCTCTAGCAATGCTTGTAGGGTATTGTCACTTCTGCATCACAGGCAGCAAGGGGCAGAGCACAGGGCTGGGGGTAAATAGGTATGTTGTAGCTGGCTGCACAAAGGGGTCCATTGCCATGGAGAGAGGTGGTGCGGAGCAAACCTAGCGTGGGGCAGGCATCGGCTTTTGGAAATGGTTAAGGCAGGGCGGTGTGAGGAGTTGGGCTAGTGTAGGCCAGGAATAGGAGAAGCCTGGAGTTAAAAGGACCAGAGGGAGCTAGAGGGAATGTGCCCTGAAATGCTGCTAAGCTGGGGCAGGGAAAAAGAGGGGGTAAGTTAGGCACCCTAGATCATACTGAGCAACCAGCGCCAGGGCTGCAGGAATTGGTGATTAGCTAGCGTAAGGGCATCACAATGAGGCTGGAGCATGGGCCCTGAGACCTCATGTAGCCTATGAGAACACCTTGAGTTGTCCAGGGAAGCAGATGACCCCTCTCAGCCCAGAAGGGTCTGCTGTGCTAAGCCCTGAGAAGTGGGCCTGAGTGACCCCCGGGCGCAAAGCAGAGGGCTCCAGGCTCCCCTGCTGAAACGCCAAAGGAGCTGTAGGGACTGCAAGTGAGATTCAGCCCTGTGTTGATTCATGTATCTAAGAGCTGGTGCCCTCGGATGCTCTCCCTGCTCCCAGAGTGACTTTTCCGGAGCTGAGTTTCCCTCTAACCAAGTTTGAAATTAAATTCTAGCTAATGAGCTAATTAAATGGTACTGGCACATCCTTCTTCCCCACTCCCCACGTCTCTCCCCTCTGAAGCAGCTCTATATAACACTTCATTATCTATTTCCCCCTCCTAATGTTATTGTAATGCAGAAGATTAAGCAGGTTATCAAAGACCTGTCCATTGCAAACAGCTCTGTGCGTTGTTTGGAAAGGGGGATCTGCCCGATAGCATTTCAGAGTGCACATTTTCCACCTTGCCCTCTCTCTTCCCACTTCTCCTGCACATTGGAGCTGCTTTTGCACCTGAAAGTGTGCCCTTAAGCACAGTTATGAATGCTGTGAGCTGTACTTCCTTACAACCTGCTAATATCTGATGCATTGACCCTTCTCTGAACACCCCCAGGCTCTGGCTGGGGTGATGGAGGGAAAGCAGTGAAACGCTCTGTCAAAGTCTCGGCATTTCATCTGCTTCATTTACATGACATTCAGAACCAGGAACGATGAAATACCTGGAGATTTGGTTAGGCTGCTTTGTCCCATGGGGTCTTACCCCAAACCCTGTCAGTGAGGGCCATTTAACTATCTCCTGCCATACCCGACTCAGCTATTCAGTGCTCTCCAATACCACTGAGTTCACAGAGGAGCCCAATAGTGAGCAGCACTAGTAAGCTATTATCTTCCAGTGGACAAGGCACTGGGAGGAAGACCCAACATATGTGTTTTGCTAGTGTGTTGCCTGCTTCCCCTGTTAGAGCCAGCTCCTCTGTCCCTGGAGGGGGACTAGCATTCAGGCCCATTACTGCTCCACCTCTTTTGCTAAAGTGTGTTGGTGCAATTTGAACCCAGGAACTAGAGCAACGCAGCATCCAACAATGAGAGGCAACTCCAGTCATTGCTAGCAGTAGAGGCTTGTCAGCTAGCGGACTCACTGCAGGGGC